TTCTCAGGTAAGGATTAACAAAAGAGAGAGAGATTTATATGTGTATCAATGGTCTCCATGTCCCTCCTGTGCTCACAACCCTTCCGTGACTCCGTATTGCTCTTTACATAAATCCCAGCTCTCCTGCTGTAACACTTCAGATTTGACTTCGCTGAGTGTAAGAAAGCTCCAGTAAGAAGCTCTGCGAGCTGGAGGCTCCTATCGGTGCCATGTGAAAGAAGCCTGGGGCTGCTGAGCCTCGGTGATACCAGGTCTGCGGTCCTCAGACCTGGCTGTCTCCTGCGTTCTTGCTCCGTCAGCCTTTAACATGGGCCTCTGGTTGTCTCCGGGGCCAGAGCAGCTGCCTGAGCGCCAGCCGCCACACAGCAGCACGGGAGACGGGGGTGGGAGGTGGGGGCACGAAGGAGCGTCTTCTCATCTCTCGAGTCTCAACACTGTTGTCTAGACAGCCCCACCACTCTCTGGGCTCCCTGAGAGGTCTCTTCTAAACCTCTCACTCCTTTGCTACCAGTGCGTTTCTGTCTCCCAGTGGCCACAGCTCTGGGAACACAGAACATCACCTGTTGGGCTCAGCAGGCGCCGCCTCTGCCCACCCCTGCACAGGTCCCTGTGAGCAGGCTGAATTGTGATGGAATGCGCGAGTGGGTGAAATGATGCGTGCATGAAGCCATGCCCCGCAGCGCCCCTCATCCTCTCCAAACAGAAATGCTGACCCGGGAACTGGCGTGAATCGTCCAAGGCTTCCCGGAGGGCCTCCTGTAGGAAACGCCAAGTGGAGTCTCCACAGGTGGCAAGAGCATTGTAGGCAGAGGATCAGCATAACTGAAGGCCCCGTCCCATCCCCTCCCCTCCCAGCTCTGGAGCTGCTGCCACCGCCCAGGGGGTGCTCTGGGCATGTGGTAGGGCCTCCACAATCATCCACCTGACAAGGGCACTCTTGGCATGGAGAGCAGGGCCGTGGTTGCGGAGGTGAGGCAGTGCGGTCTCAGTGAAGAATCACCCACAGAGAAACAGCTTCCAGCCCACCTCCCCGCCCCGCCCCTGTGCATGCTCTCCAGGGAAGC